TATATATATATATATATATATATATATATGACAAATAACATTAAATTTCAATAACCTTATTCTGGAACACTGGAGACAGACAACATAACTTACCGAAACAATAAAAAAATCCTCATGAAGTATGGAAACTATACCAAAGTTTGTATACTTGAAGATCCTATCCATTATCCACATGAGATTTGGCAGGACATTTTTCTTTGTATTGAATGTTGCCATTAGCAACGGAACATCTGCAGTTGACTGATGATTAGCTATGACTAGTGTACGATCTTCCAAGCAAGTCCTGATATCATCTCCCAACTCTACAACTGCAAAACAAGGAAAAAAAAATATATACATAGTTCCCAAACAGAAGCAGCACTTTGTATAGAATTATTTAGACTTTATCTATCAGGTGGGATAAGGCTTTTCCACAAAAATCGAACAGTGGTGAAATTTTAACAGGAAATTTAATGATGCTGTCAGGACTGAGATGATATAAGTCAATGATACAATGTTTAATGAATACAGAGCAGTTGGTGGAATGAGAACTGGCTGGGGAAACAATAGAAAACCCATCCTAGTGCCGCTCTGTCCAACACAAATCCCACATGACCTAACCTTGGATCAAATTTGGCCCGCTGTGATGTGAAGTCATCAACTTAATCCACCTGAATTACAGTACGGACTGTGAAAATTGGTGAAATATGCTACAACATTTACACACAGAGCAAGGGTCCATTCACTGACCAGTACCATTTTGTTACTGATAAAACCAACTGCATGGAAAAAATATTTTGTATGACTGATTAATGTGCGCACAAATGTGCTCGTAGAGTGGCAAGACTATCCATTCGAACTCCTTTACATGTGCCAACAGCATCTCAAACCAATTTCAAATAGGACCATATATTTCATACCAGTACAACTCCTTACATATCCATCCGTTCATGAACATGCAGCCCACCTCTGGGCAAAACTGTAATTTTATTTCTTATACAGCTAAAACATGAACTGCTAATGACTGATATATTTCAATAAAATATGAAAGAATGTGAGATGTGAGGTTCTCGCAGCAGTGACTATGAAGAAAAGTCCTGAGATGTGATGCCATGTAGTCTGGTAGAAATTTACCAACAATTCAAAGGAATGTGCTGCCTCCCTCTTTAATGCAGAAGAGCAATTCTCCTATCCTGAAGATGGAGGCAGCAAATTCCTTTGAAACATCGGTATATTTCTGCCAGACTATGTGACATCAAAGCCCAGAAGATACTACTCTTCAATATGAAAGAACTTTTGAAACATTACCTGCCATTTCAATTTTGGATGAGCAGATTCTAACTTCCATGTAATGGAAGAAAGGTATAGATTTCCACAGCAGTTCTTCCTAATCATAAACAACCCTGTTATACAAGATAAAATTAAATTCGCACACAAGCCCTACATATTGTGATTATGAGTTAAAAACAAGTAAGAATTTCAACATATGTCCAGATACATTTAGTTTTTGAGATACATGTCACCTTCATATGGGGTAATATGCTTCCCAGCAGTGTGCAGGATGATATGAAATTCATACAAAGCTCTATTTTCTGAGGGCCCTTCTTAAAAAAAAAAGTAAAGAAATATTATACAACATACAGTCAAGATGCACGTCACAATCAAATGGGGTAACATGCTTCTCAGCAGTGATATTTGTCACAATACATAGCACATTTGTTAGGCAAACTTGAAGCATACAGTGCACATAAGGAGGCTGTTGTGATCGAATGATCATAGAATAGGCACTCAATGAATACCGTGACATCCTCTTAACCCCTGATGTCTGTAACAGCTGAGATGGTACTGCCGCACATGAATACGCATTGTGTAACCCTGGCCCACATCATCTGGACTGTCACTGTGAAACCTTGAATTCATATAAACTACAGCAATGCAAGTTCAGATGAGAAATTTGGTAGAATGCTATCTCAAAAATGTATAAAACATTATGACATTTTCTGCTTACATATACTGAAAGTCACAATCATAATGACACAAAACTCTAAGATTATTTTTGAAAATTTTCAGGTAATTGAAACCCATAACGGTGGAAGCTTTGCACAAAGTGGCTATTAAGTTGAGTATCACTTCAATGGTTCTTACAATCCTGGTAAAGATCTTATCACAATTTAATAGCAAAATTAACTGCCCAGTTTGTCTTCCTAGGGATAAAGGGTGGTCGGTGCCTGAGGCTGACAACCTCATTGTCAGCTGTGAGCCGATTGTCTAAAAGAATGTGGGAGCCTCGACATCTCACAACCCTATGGGCCTCCATGGCCCATTACAGGGATAGCTTTACCATTTTTTACCTTTTAATATCCCACTGTACCAAAAACTTTTAATGTTCTTTGGCATTAGGAAGAATGATGGTACACATGTTTAATGCACTATTATAAAAACTGTGCATATAGGTCAGAAGACCCCTTGGATGGCTGGCTCTTTCAAAGAAGGAATTAAGTATATTTTCACACAGCCTCTATACTCATATATTGTCAGCTCTGGTAGAACAGCATAACCTCCAAATATTTAACAACAGCAACGTGGCAAAGGGCCAGGATGGTGCAGTTGGTATAGTAACTGGCTACGGGCTGGAAAACCAAAGGGTCAGAGATCAGGTCCTGGTGGGGGCAAGAATTTTCACTTCTCCAAGTCGTCCAGACCAGCTCTGTGGCCCATCCAGCCTCCTATCCAATGGATAACGGGGGATCTTTCCACGGGGGTAAAGCGGCCAGGGCGTGAAGCTGAACACTCACCTCCAACTAGTGCTGAGGTCAAGAAAATGTGGGTCTATACATCCACTCTCTCATACATCTTCATGACATAGCGCTTAATTAAGTTAAGCACGGCGACAACTTTACCCCCTTTTATCTTTTACTGTAGTAAATGGTCCTATCTTCTGGGATATAATCCCATGTAGTCTGCTGGAAGTCAACCGATTACATGGCATTATGTACCAGAAGACAGAACACTCCATATCCACTGCTGTGAGAATCTCAAATCCCACACTGAATTACTTGTATAATGTAGTAATATATTTGAGAAAAACATGTTTGCAATGACTCAAACTCACTGTCATATCCTGCTGACCAGCTCCACATGCTGACCATTGCTAGCAACCAATGAAAGAAATGGCCTTCTATTTTCCAATATAGGTCTGGGTGGTACCTCTTCAGTGGAAAAATTATTACCATCCATACAACATATGTTGGGATGCAGTAAACATTGTTCAAAATGACAAACATGGTGCGCAGGATACATTTGCACAGGAATGCAAAGCAGCTGAAAAATATTATACAAATTAATTTTGATTAATTAGTCTATATTCAATGAAATATTAAATACAGAAGTAAGTATGTTTTACCTAAAAAACTCCATTCTGATGATTTGGTAAATAACATAAGTTAAAAGTATTATAATATTTAGGCAAGATTCTTTCTAAAATCCTCAAGCTGACAGCCTCAATGATGTTTGATATTCAGCTGAATTTAAACTGGCCATGATGATAAACAACCCTGCAAACAAACAATAATTTATAAGAAATAATTGTAGACAACACTTTTACCTATCATTCCCTTCTGTAGATAGAGAGGGGAGAAACAATTTACACAATTAAAAGAAATATGTAAAGATATGTATCATGACATGTAGCTGAGTGTCAATTACAGGAGTGTGTGGATGTGTTCTTTTAAGACAGGAAAAAGAGTGCCAGTCTAGTTTACGTATTGGATCAGAGTGTGGATGTGTTCTTTTAACACAGCAAAGAGTGCCAGTCTAGGATAAGTCCTGGGCCAGATCAGTTGACAGTTAGGGCAGTCAAGATAAAAATGGTTTTGATGAAAACTGACAGGATTTTTAGTATGTGAAGAACATTACAGGATTTCAGGAATGGCATAAGAAAAGAAAGTTAAAGGAATACAACAAGATGTGAATATTCCTGGAGTCAGATTTTAATAGATGAAGCAGACACTGGATAATGTGATAATAGGCAACAAGCAGATCCAACAGGTAACAAGGAATTTGAAGACGCAAGAGATTCACAGTCAACACGCAAGACATTTCAAAGATGTGCACAATAAGAATACCATTTTGAGATTTGGATTGTAACGGCATAACAGCAAAACTTTCTGTGATACACTTAAAGATGTGAAAAATTTTTGAGGCAGGTCATGAATACATAGATTTTTCTACAGTTTACAGACTAACTTTTATGGCCTTTGTGACTGTAATCAATATTTTAAAGTAGCAAACAAATAATTTAAAACATACTGGAATACTTACAACTACACAGGGGAGTTTCAGCTTTATCTCAAGAATTTGCAGGATATCCTGGAGGTGGAGCAAGAGAAACATTAATTTGACCTCACAGGTTTGGACAGTGTTTGTAATTTTGGAAGCATTTTGAATGTGCAGACTGGTTACATAATAAGTTAGAACTAAAGGTTCAACCTTTCACCAAGGTCTGGGCTTGTACTTATATGGCCTTGAAATATCGTTTTTTTTAGAAACATGCCCGCAAGGATAATGGAAGGGAGATTATTATTTTGTGTGGTGGCAGAGAAATGTTATTTACAAAATTATGCACTGCTATGTAGCATTTAATTAACAGGTGCATTGCTATGTTTTATAATGGACTGAGGTTTTCTTAACTGATAGGTAAATTTTTATGTGCTATTGTGTTTTCAGTTCTTATAATGGAAGCGGTTGTAATGGATACTATTTTAATATGAGGAATTAATTTTGATAGTGAATAATGTCAAGTAATGCTATACATTGTACACAGCTGTAAAACAGCACTAAAAATGGACCAGATATAATTACAAATGTTTTAAGGGGATTTCATGTGCTTCTGATTTAAACGTTGTGCTAAAGAATGCTTTTACAAACCAGATTTATTTTATAATTCGTTTTTGTTGGAAAGTTATACTGAAACACCTGTGAAATTTTGTGACAAACAGTTTAACGTGTAATATGGTAACGATTAAAAGAAGTATCCTAGTCCCCTCGGGTACATGGAGTTAGGGGGAGGGACCTAAAGCAATTTTATTCATTTCAGATTCATATCACGAAACATGCTGATGAACAGCAAAAACAGAAGAACCTACATTCCGATAAATATTACAAAATGGCAGCATAAAAATAATACACTTACAACAAAAATTCTAAAACTGATACTATCTAATCTTTCAGTTTATTACCACTAATTATTACACAAATTTTATTACCACTCTTACTTCCATGCCATCACCCATTACTGAATTATAACACCAAAACCTGCACTTTAATTGTGAAACAATAACACATTAGATCAAAACTTGAATATTCATCACGAAATCCTCATATTCATCATTGTTGACACATATTTGTCACACAATCATCAAATCCTTTCAGAGACGTTAAGTACTCGCTCTACAACTCCCGACAGCTGCCGACGTCGGCAGGGTTGCCATCTTCCGAAAACCATAGTGCAACCCAGCGATGTGCAAACAACCTTTTACATTTCCCCATTTAGCATTCAGGTCTCCTACTTGTCTACGTAGTCTGCTGCCCGTGACCCTGTGACTGCCTGTGACCGTAGTACATTTATACCACTTTTGCATATGACGCGTGCTATAGCATTTTATTTGTTCGTGGATTTTGAGGAGAATCGGTGAACGTAATCTGGATCTGGAATACGATAACGATGATGACGATGATGACTTCGACAATTCTACAACTCTCCAGAACAGGGAGAAGGTTAACGTTGCAAGTGGAAAGAGTATATGGGGAGAAAGTAAAAGTAATATATAACGTAGAACAAACAGCAAGTATGGTGAGTAACCGAATGTTCCATGGTTTGATACCTGAGCTCTTGAAGACCAACTGATGAAGTTATTTATAAACTTAAGTAGTAAGATTTTGTTAGCGCACGATTTTATGTATGATGGATGAAAAACTAGGTATCTAATGAAAAGATGTTATCTGAATCGCATGACAGTTTTCGTATTATTGTATCTTAAAACAGGCAAACTTCAGAACTGAGAAAGACACCCTTGGAGAAGTGCAGGTGCCGGCAGATAAATATTACGGCTCCCAAACGGTACGATCCATAAAGAATTTCCCCATAGGTGTGGAAACTGAGAGAATGCCTGTAAGTATACAGTGTCCCTGAGAATATTTTGTCATATACAAATATATCCATACATAGAAGAAATAGATATGAAGCCACTATCACTACTTAATCAGAACCTTGGTACCCTCTTACTTGAGCCAAAACAAAATATGGTCTGTTTCATGCTTCAACATTCTTTGGCCACTAGACAATCTGGCTACTGAGTAATGAGTTCAGAAATGTAAGAAGCCCAGTCTCAATCATAATGAATAGCCAAGGTAGGTCAGAGAAAAGAAAAATGCTCATAGACACTGCTTCCAGAAAATATATTAGAATCTACTCCCTATTCAAAAATGAATGTTTAAGCACCAACATTAAATTAACCCTCCATAAATCACTGAGATCAGTAATTCTGGGAATTTGCAGCATACCTTAAATTTGCAGCAGCACCAAAACAAGGTTCTCTGTTATTTTTGTTACTTCCACGTGGATCGAATGATAAGTGAGAATCAGTGTTCACTCTGCTCCTGCTTTATTAAGACTCTGAGATTTGATACAGAAGTACGCCTTATATGTACATACAGGCTTATAACCATAGTAACACATAACAGTATAAAGATACTGTTGTTACACACGTAACTGTAGTTACACATAACAGTAAACATCACTTAGGTAACGAGACATAACCTAGTTCTTAAATTGTTTACTATGATGTTGCCAACTCTAACATTATATTTCAGTATCTGAGAGTTGCCAACATTCTCAACAAGGAAGGAAATTGAAAACATTATTAAATCCCTTAAGCCCAAAAATTCACATGGATATGATGAAATCTCTACCAATTTACTTAAAGCAAGCTCTGTTTACATCAGTTCACCCTTGAATCATCTATGTAATAAATCTTTATCATCAGGTACTTTTCCTCAACGCTTAAAATACGCTGTAATGAAACCACTTTTTAAAAAAGGAGAGAGAAAATGCATCTCTAATTACAGACCAATATCCATATTGACTTCATTCTCAAAAGTCTTTGAAAAAGTTATGTATAATAGACTACTTGAACACTTAAATTCTAACAACATATTAGTCAAAGAGCAATTTGGATTTAGGAAAGACCTAACAACAGAAAAAGCAACCTATGAACTAACTAACGATATTTTAAGTGCTCTCAATGACAGATTAATTGTGGGAGGGATTTTCTGTGATCTAGCAAAAGCTTTCGATTGTGTTAATCATGATATCTTACTATCGAAATTAAATTTCTATGGAATAACTGGCAAAGCTAATGAATGGATCAAATCATACCTCAAAAACAGGTATCAAAGAGTTGAAATAAATAATAAAAACTCCAGTCATAATGCATTTTCAAACTGGGGAATTATAAAGCACGGTGTTCCACAAGGATCAATTTTAGGTCCCTTACTTTTTCTTCTCTACATAAATGATCTATCTAAAACCATCAACAATAAATCTAAACCAATTCTATATGCAGATGACACTAGTATAATATTTAAGAACTCTAAATTTGAAAACTTTAAAAATGACATAAATATTGTATTTGAAGCCTTAAACAGATGGTTCGAAGCCAATTTACTCTCATTAAATTTTGATAAAACCCATTACATATCATTCACAACTAAAAACAACCACCAAATTGATCTGGACATCAGTTATGCCAACAAATTAATCTGTAAAGTACTTGATACAAAATTCCTTGGAATACATGTAGACAGTACACTGTCTTGGAAAATACATATTGAACAAATTATACCTAAATTAAATGCAGCTTGCTATGCGATGAGATCAATTAAGCCTTTTATGTCACAGGAAACATTGAAGATGGTTTACCATGCCTACTTTCATTCTATTATGAACTATGGATTAATATTTTGGGGGAACTCTTCACATAGTGTAATAATTTTTAAAATACAAAAGAATATAATTAGAATCATTACAGGATGTAGAAGTAGAGATTCATGTAGAGAATTATTTAAGAAATTAAAAATTCTACCTCTTCAATCGCAATACATATTATCGCTTCTCTTATTTGTTGTTTACAACAAAGATAAATTCAAATTAAATTCTGATGTCTATAACATGAATACTAGACAAAAATATAACTTCCACCTACCCTCATCAACTTTATCAGTATATCAAAAAGGAGTCTACTTTACTGGCATAAAAGTGTTCAACAATCTGCCACAAAGTATTAAAAACTTGGGCAATGATACTAAAAAGTTTAAATCAGAGTTAAAGAATTATCTACATGCTCATTGCTTCTACTCTTTAGATGAATACTTCAATGTAAGTTATATTAATTTTTAAGCTAAAATTGCCTGTACTTATGTATGTAACCTTTTGACTTGTTCTGTATCCAAAGGTACTAACCTACTTAGGATTTATAGAATGTAAATAAATTCAATTCAATTCAACACTCCCCCTTAAACAATTCGGGAGTTTTTATTTTAAATACTTATTCATTGATCTGAGAATTCCTGTGTACAGTACCTACATCCTTTGTAGTGTCTAGGTATTTTAGAACTCTCTTCAACAACTCAGCTTCAGTATTGTCATGAAATATGAAGAAGTCTTCAACATACAATTCTATATTAATTATAGAATTACCCTTCTGTTTGGTATAAATACATGGTTCGGAACAAGTTTGCCTGTACCCTAGGCCTTTCAGAACCTCGGTTGCTTTCTTATTCCACGACCTAGCGGCTTGTTTCAGTCCGTAAACTGATTTTCTTAATTTGCAAACTTTATTAGACTCCCCCTTAATGTCATATCCTTCAGGAAGTTCCATATATATAACTTCTTCAAGATCTCCGTTTAAAAATGCGGTACAGACATCAAGGTGGTCAATGTTCCAATCATGCTTTGCAGCTAAAGCAAATAACAGTCGCATTGAAGAATGTTTCACCACGGGAGCGAAAGTTTCAAAATAGTCTATTCCTTCTGTTTGGCTACAACCTTTTGCCACCAAATGTGCTCTGTGACGTGCGGCATTTCCTTCAGCATCTCGTTTAATTTTGAAGACCCATTTTTGATTTCACTATTGGCTTATTTGACGGTCTATCCACTATTGTCCATGCTTGATTTGTTTGGAAAGCTTCTAGCTCCTGTTTAATAGCTTCTTTCCATTTAGATTTATCGGAGCTTGACAGTGCCTCTTCATATGTGACTGGTTCTGACTCCTCATCTTTATGCATGGCTAAGTAGGTAACAAAATCTGGAAATTCTTTCTGTTTCCTGTTTCGAAGTGGATATCTTCTTTCTTCCAAGTTTCCTTGTAATTGTTCTAAACCATCTGGCTCTAATGGAACTTCATTTCCTTCATCTTGTACTTGTTCTTCTTCAGGGTTTTGTTCATGCGGAATCATTGCTTCATCTTGTGAGGCGAGGTAGAAATTTAACGACATTGGAAGAATGTCTTTAAGCTGAAATCCTTTCTCACTTTCTCTCTTGTTTGTTATTTCTACTTCCAGAAATTCTACATCTCCTGCCACAATTATTTGAGACGGATTGCGGGGATCTGATAACCGATAAGCTTTACTTTCCTCACTATATCCCATAAAAATGTATTTCTTGCTCACAGCATCCAGTTTTTGGCGTTTCTGTGATGGTACATGAGCATACGCTGGACATCCGAAAATTTTATATGGGAGAGATCAGTCTTTTCTCCTGTCCATATTTCTTCAGGCAATTGATTCTTTAGTTTCTTGTGAGGTGATCTGTTTAAAAGATATACGGCTGTTTGAGCTGCTTCAGCCCAGTATCTTTTGTTGCAGCCGGAATCATACAACATACAGCTTGTTTTTTTCAAAATGCTGTGATTAGCTCTTTCGGCAGTTCCATTTTGTTGTGGGTTATACACCACAGAGAATTCCATTTTGTTTTAATATGTCGTTGAATACTTTGCCGCAAAATTCACCACCATTATCGGAACGAACAGCTTTTATTGTCAATCCAGTTTCTGTCTCAATCATTTTCATAAATTCTTTAAAAGCTTCATATGTGTCACCTTTTTGTTTCAAGAAACGGATGAAGATTTTTCTACTATGATCTTCCACAGTAGTAAAAAAATATTTAGCATTCCCATAAGAGGGTACTTCAAATGGCCCAACTAGATCTAAATGCAATAGATCAAGTATTATTTTTGACTGTTTGTTCTTTGATTGTAAGAAAGGCTTCTTTGTCATTTTGCCTTCCAGACATGGAACACATTTCTTTGACTGATCTTCTTGTTCTTGAAAATCGATGCCACTAGCTAAACCTTTTTTTAGCAATCGCATGCTAACCCTATTTAAATTCCCCAAACACCTATGCCACAACAGTTGTTCATCAACTTGCTGGGTGCTTGCAACTTGTTCATTCTTTATAGTATTAATACAAGATTTTTCACATTTGTGATTTTTCTTTTTGGTATTAACCTTATCTTTAGTTGCTATATTTGCAGATTGGGTCATGTTAACTTTGGTATTTAAACAATAAATCCCATTTTTGGGATATGCTTTGGCAAGAACTTTGCCTCTTGAAAATCATCAGAATCGTATAACTTGCAACAGTCTTTGGTGAATAACACAATTGTACCCTTATTTACAATTGAGTTTACAGACAACAAATTTGTAGACAATCC